TTGAAGTAAATTTAGCCTGAGATTTTTGTTCCACCATGATTCTCATGGGTTCCAAACTCAGTGCTTACCATACTAACAATAATCTTTAATGTCTCCAGACTCTACCCGTGTTCGTTGTTAACCTTCACTCACAAAGTAATGAGATGCATCAGACATCGTCAAGATGGCCTAAGGGGTTACAAATTTGGATGAGGGCCACATACTCTACTAATTGCTTCTAATAAATTACATATTTCAGGAGGGACATCATGATTTTAATCATTTATTCTGCATGTTGTTTCCTTTGGAGAGAAGAACAAGCAGGCACTAAACAAGCAGAGCATCTGAAATTCATGGCAGAAGCTAGAAAGAGCTCATTTAATATCAACCATCATTGTAAATACTAGAATTATGCATGTATCAAATCCCCGGGTCTGAACACTTTGGGAAAAGCCAGTGAGTTCTTGTTGTTTTAATGACTCAAACCAAAATAATGTCTTTGAATGTTCCTTAGATTTATAACAGCTCTGATTTAATCCCATTTCAAATCTTGTAGCTGGGGCCTAGCCCAGGAAAAGACCTTTGTTTTTATGCAAAGAAAAATACATTAGAAGGGGAATTTAAAGCTTTTGTTTCCCAAAAGGCTGAGGGAAAACAGTCAAATACATCTCTTACTTGTGTGGAGAATGACTTTAATTATGATTTGATGGCTCCTCATTGGAAAAGTGGTCCAGTGAACACAGACAGCTACAGTAACTTGCTCTAAAGCCTGCTGAAATTAGCAGGACCTTGATCTGATCTGAACAGCCTCTTGCAGAGTGAACTAAGATGAGTGAAGTTTTCCTACTTCCCTGACCTCTAGCACATCCAGGCTAGTAGACTCACTGCTAATGAAATCCTCAAATCACTTGGGAAAGTGCACTTCCTTCACAGGGGGAGACCTTGGTGGTATTTAAATAGCCACTAGTATTAATAGCAATAGCTGGTAGATATTGTGGGGGTTTGGGACCTCTAGGGAGCAATGCAGGTCTGGGAACAGCTCAGGCTGTCTTCTGTTAGCCTGTGTAAACCTTGCTTCCTGCCACTGCCGTCGGCATTTCCTTCCAAGGATGAGCTGAGCTACCAAACAAAACATGACTACCTGGGAGAAAGGAAACCTGCCTCAGCACGAAGCATGCCCGGGCATGGAAAGCTGCAGCTGCAGCTCGGAGACTCAGATGTCCTCTTTTGATTTTCAAGTGGCAATGAGACACTAAGGAAGCACCTTCACCTGGGGTAAGTGCAATCCACTTCTGCCTTGGCAGTCTAAGGTGCCTTCACTTGGTCCCTCTCTATCTGGAAGGGTTATCATCCCATTTTAGACTTCTCTGGCTAGTGTGAGGGTAAAAAATGAGCCTCCAGCAAGACTTCCAGGGGCTCCTCTAGCCCACCAAGCAGAACAATGAAGACATTTCTGAAGATGCTGTTTTTGCTTTCCTGGATGGATGGACCTTTGTGCTAAAGCAGCTGGACATCTACTTTGGAAAAGGATCAAAGGATTCTTCTTGGCTTTGTCATACAGAACAAGAAGCAGATTAGTAAATAGGAAAAAGGCCTTACACATTGAGAACTGACTGGAAAAGATTGCCCAAGGCAAAAGTGGTGACTATTCAAATTGCAAAACATTCCTGTGGTTGTTTTTATGGTATTTTTCATAGGCAGGTTCAAGCTAACCTTCACACATTAAGAAGACGACCTTAAAGGATGAGAAAATTTGAAGTTCAGGCATAAAAGCACATGAATAACAGAAGAAAAACTGACACAAAGAGGGGAACTGGAGACGATGAACCCTTAGTTAAGATTGCTGCTAAACATAGAAAAAAACTGTGACAAGGGGTGAATCACAACATACAGAAGTGGGTTCCTTTGGTGCAATCTTCAGACCCTGACTTTTGCCAACACTGCATGCTACATACCAGCATGGAATTAAACACTAGTGAGGCAGGTTAGGAAAGAAATATCTATGAAAGCAAAATGGAAAACCTCTTTGACATCCATTAGCTTTGGTAATATAATACTAAGAGGCACACCATGCTCAGCTGTTATCTGGTTGGCCAGCTGAGTCCCTCTCCAGATTACTACTTAAATCAATAGCTCTCACATTGATTTTTCCAGCACACTGTATTCCAGTAAAAAGAACAATGCTCTGAGATGAGTCAGCTATTTGCTCTGTCTGTAGGAACTCTGGTGTGTTTTTGTTTAGGAAAATAAAAGCAGGAGCCAAGGTACACACAGATATGCAGTAATAAGGACCTGCCTGTTGCACCAGGTTTGCTACAGCTTGCTGCAGCAGCCACAGCCCAGCCTTGAGCTAGAGGAAGTTTCTGCAATGATGAAACTGAAATATTTAGGGATGGTCTTAGACAGATAATAATGCTGAATTTTAGTTCAATAAGTGCAATGGCAGAAGGAAAAAATATGCCCCCATATTTATCAAAGAATAGAATCAGAGAATCATAGAATGGCTGGGGTTGGAAAAGACATTAAAGATCATCTCATTCCAGCCCCGCTTCAATGGACAGGGACTCTGCCCACTAGACTAGGTTTCCTAGAGGTCCAAGCAAACTGGCCTTGGACACTTCCAGATAAGCTGACACTTCCAGGGATGGAAGTCACAGCTTATCTGGATAATGTGAATCCTTCATCTGGGCAATTCAACTAAGAGGCTGATCTCCATATATTTACCATAATAGGTAAAACCTCAGCAGTACTGCATTTATTGCATATATTTTCATGTATTTGGATATTTCATGTAACATGTACTATAGATCTGGTATTGTAACCAGTCATCACCATTGTCTGATGTTCCTTCAGATCTTTTCAACCATGCCATCAATTTCCCATTCTATATGGGCTTCTATCCACAACATCAATATTAATTTCCTCTTTCTCTCTCCTACCTTGCCATCAATACAGAAACCAGCAACCTTTCTCTCACCCAGTTTTGTAATTATTTCAAGACACTTACAGAAAACTGTAACAAAACTATTTTCAGCTATTGGAGGTTTGGAGTCAGGCTGAAGTATGACTCTGCCCATGGTTTCTCTTGATCCCTTTCAGCTGCAAGTATGGAGCAAAGCTCCTGCCATGGCCCCTTTTCTTTCCCACAGCCTTCTGCACACAGCTGCTGTCTCAGCTTCCAGGCTCAGTTCCACTGCCTGCAAGCTTGGCTTATTTCTGGGAACTTTGAGTTAACAGCAGCTACAAACTACTACAATGCCCCAGAAGTTAACAAATGAAAATATTTGTCCCTCTTCTCCACTCCATTTATTATCTCCAGCTTTAAATGTAAGGTACCAGATTATAGTCTATCCCAGCTTCCATTAGTAACAGCCCCAGAGGGTATGGAGCAGACAAGGAGCTGTAAAGAATTTTATTTTTTTACTTTACTGTATATCAAATACCATATTATGAATACACTGTGGGAAAAACAGTGCACAGGAAATGTATGAAGTATATGCTCAAAGTTGAGGAGGAGTTGTGCAACTGAGAAGCCTGTTATTCAGAAAATACTGTTGAATAGTGTTCAACAGTATCTTCAACTGCTATAAAACTAGAATAATTTAAATCATTACAAAAACTCTGTATTTCTCAGTAAAACCAGCTTTGTGTATTTCATATTGCTATATATTTGCCTCACAGTCTCTTAGTCCAAACAAAAAAAAAAAAAGTAATCTTTTCATATCAGTGAAAAGGAAGAATAATAAATTTTCAACTAGGTAATTTTTAAATTAAAAAGTTCATATTTATGACAGTAACAGTATGGCAGAGCTGGAGCAATCCAGTCAGTTTACAGGAAGGGTTATCAACTTCCAAGCGCCTACTTGTGTATCTGGGACTAAGGTGTAATTTAGGATGCTAAGGCATGCAGTTCTAGAGAGGAGCTATGAGGACCTGTTTTACACTGCACTTCATTTGCCCAGCATTTAGTTTAGGCTTGTACAGCAAAATAATACAGCAGTGAGATCAATAGGTATTGCTATCCATGCAAATAATTTTTCTTCCAGAAAAAATATTGAAATTGAACATCATAAGATTATTGCTAATATCCAGCACACAAACTTCAGCCTATTTTGGCAAACAGTCTTGTTCAGGCATCTGAGTGATATTTTAACTGTGGTTAGGACAAGTGCTAGAGAACTGCAGCTCCAGAATGAGACACATAGAACTGGCTGATACGGTAGATTACCTCATGACAGCAGCAGTATTTCACACAACTAATCAGATATCCCAGGTAATAAACTGTGTTAAGCAGACAAATGGAAATTTACGTATTCATTATCCATCAGGAGACACCTGGCAGGATGGCCTTTAGACTGTACTCTGAAATAATCCTGCTCTGACAGGTGTCAGCCAGACGTGCTGGTGAAACACCACAGATCTTGCTTCACTTCAATCTCCATCCAGTCAAATTCTGTGCAGAACTACGTAAGAAGCAAGGCCTAAATGTAGCTGTTCTGATCCCAGGTGATATCACTGCTGCTTTTGTACATATTCCTAAAAAGCATGTTATCCCTCAAAATTTCTATCAAGAGTTCTCATTTTCCTTATCTTTCCAAGAAAGTCTTTACACACCCTATTGTCACACACCCAGAGCACAGTTTTGGTTCTCCTTTTCACAGTTGCCTGGAAATGAGAGCCAGAAGATGGGGGAGTGGTTTCAAATAAGAAACAGAGAACTCTATGGGGCCAGCACCAATAGAATTTATATATTCAAGAAGCTCTGTTCATAGTTTTGCATTGAATTATCTGTTATAGCAAACTAATCAAAGCATAAAACTTTGGGTTTTTTTTTTCCTCGAGCAAATAAATTTGCCCCTGCAGCAAGGTTCTGTGCTGAGGATGGGGAGACGGTGAGCACCAGGCAGGTGGGCAGTGCCAGGCAGTGGTGGCTGGGCACGACCCTGTGGCACTGCTCCGGTGCCGCTGTCCCCCCCGGAGCCAGGGAGCCGTGCCAGGGGCCGGGCAGGAGCTCACGGTACCTTTGAGGGCAGGCGGGGTGAAGACGCTCTGCTTCCTCTGCTTGGGAGAGGCACTCTGCGACTGCGGGGACAAAACAGAGAGGGGCAGTGAGATACGGGCACAGAGAGAGAGATTTCTGCTCCTGGCAGCTCCGTGCTCACCCATCTAAGCGCCCATCAGAGAGCTTCCGAGGAAAACAAGCCGTGTACAGCTGATGCCAGCTGCCAGGCTGTCATGTACACAGGAAAACTAAGACAAAAATATGTGTTTAATGGACAACCTTTATGACTCCCAGGCAAAATGGACCCAATACTACTGAAAATTACCCTTCACTCTATAAAATATTGTGTAACATAAAATTAGGATAGCCTGTGCTTTTAACAACCTGTGTAATTGATTCTCATAAGGCAAATAAATGTCCATGTATATCAAAATAGTTGCAAGGTTTACATTAGCCAACGTTCCAATTACAGTGTAATCAGTGATTATGTGCATGTGTAAGGTGGTACTAAAATATTAATATATACATTTTAATATAAATAAGTGGAAAATCCCTCCCCCTGTACCTTTTCAATGTGTTCTATTAAACCCAAGATCATAATTTCAGCAGCAATCACTCAGCCTTTAACTGAGCCTCATTTGAGTGCTGTATTTAGTTAAACTTTGTGTGGCCTCAAAATCTCATCTATGCACAAAAGATAAATTATTCCAAAATAATGGCAGTAAAATTACATATAGAGTAATAATAGTATTATTATATTATCCCAATACACATAGAGTAATAATAGTATTACTACATTATATCAATATTTAGTTAGCAAAAACTAACTGGAGTACATTCAGTGCTAAAGCAGAGCAGCTTTTGCAAAATGAAAGCAGCTAAATTGGAGTCAATATTATACCAACATAAATTATGTCTACATAAAAAGGACAAGCAAGCCTCATACAGTACACCCTCAGCTAGTTTTGGAAGACACCATATCACACTCCTAACCAAAAGGTTAAGGAAAAACTGTGTGTAACCAAGCTTTTTCCCCCCCCTCATTTTATCAGTTTCTGGTTGTAGTAATGATGTTGCCTTTACCCAAACATTTGCTAAAAATGCCTAATATATACACCATGAATTTTATTCAGATCTATTTCGTCAGGGAATGTTGGAGACATGTTTCACACAAGTAGGGCTAATCCTATTAACTTAGCTTATCACAGTGGATAGAATGATAACATTTATAAATAAAATATTGTCTTTGGAAAGAGAAAGCTATTTATAAACACTATGGGATAACCTGGTGAACCTCACGCCAGTAAATCTTTATATGCTTGTATTGGAGTTCAAATTTGAACCAATCAATACCTCCTGCTGCTATTTAAGGTGCTCTGAGCAGTGGGTGAAGGAGAAAGAGATCAGGGGCTTGCAGGAACCATGCGAGGGGAGGTTAGAAAATGAGATCAGAGGAGCCAGCTTTCAGCTCTTGTGCAGACAACATGCCTGCACTGCCTGCTGCAGGCTTGACAAGCGATGGAGAGAGCAGAGAGGTGTTTGAATGCTCTTGTGCCCAGCAGAGACCTGCAGATCCACAGCAACGCTTGGCTGGGGTGATCCAGGTCACCTTGGCTGTGCTGTGCTGTGGCAGGGCATGGCACCAAGGCAGAGGGGAAGCTCACCTCTCCCAGCTCCCTGCTACAGGGAGCTGGCACAACACACAACATGGCTTGACACAGCCCTGCTTTGAAAATGATGGCTCTTAAAAGGCTGTGTTACTGCAGATGGCATGACAATGTAAATAAAAGTATCCACCAGGATGAATCAGTGAGTTTCCAAGAGTTTTTAACAATTGAACTATTTTAACAATAAATATGTTTAGGAAAAATAAAATCACTTACCTCTGCCTGCGAGATATTTGTTCTCTTCTCATCCTTTTCTGGAGAAAAACATATGAAAAGAGGAAAGTTAATACAGAAGCATTTCTCGGGGCTAACATTTGTAACTCTGCCATGAACCTACAGCACTGCTGTAAATAAGAAATTGACCTTCTAATTTACAGCTTTTCTTTCTCATTTGTGTGTCTCAGAAAGCCAGAGGCCCTGATTAGCATTTAGACATAAGCACTGCATCTGAAACACTTAACTCCCATTTTTGTCTGTGAATAACAGTGAGCAATGGAGTTCCTTCAGCAGCAGGTCCTTTGTCCTGGCTGGCAGCAGGGCTCTGCACTGCAAGTTGGGCTCTCAGGGACTGCTTTGCCCAGGGACTGAGCTTTCTTCTGTGGTCAGAAAAGGCCTGGTTGGCAAATGGTGTGAAGAAAACTCACAAAGGGTTCCACTGCACTCGAATAATAACAAGAACCTCACCTCAGTTAAGTTATTCATATACCAATTCTGGTACTGAAAAGTGCCTTGCAGTAATATGTAAAATTAACAAAACAAAGCTTAACAAAGAGTGATCTTTCACCTTAAAAAATTTATGACATTACCAGACTGAATTTTTTACTGAAACTTTTTACTTTTGTTACCTTAATTTTCTTTAGGCTACGTGTATGGCAGAACTGGCAAAACTTCAGACTTCTATTAAAAATAAGCCTCTGAGAATTTGTTTGAACAACTAAGATTGTATGACATAGAGGAGGCTCAAGGCTCTTCCTAACCATGGCATGTAACCAATTTTTCTATGAGCTAAATTATTTCGCTGCTGTTGTCTTCATGTGGTTAATGGCCAGAAAGTATCTGTCTCCTGCTGATGATTTCACAAATATTTGACAAAGATCATGCAGGATATTTGATACACAGTAGTTTGGAGTCCTAAAATAAAATGTCATTCAAAACATAGACATCAATCTCTCACTGTTGCAATGGGCCTTCTAAAATTTTCCACTGGCAGATATCAGTGTATCAGTAATTTTCACTGAGGTGGGACAGATCTGTAACCATAGGTCTGAGCAAAGAATTAAGCCTAGGCAATATGATTTCATCTGACTTATTCTGTAGATATTGGCCTCTCGTGGTGTGCTGTGTATGAGGGGACAAGCCAGTCCATGCAGCTGAGTCGATCACATTTTCTGTCACATCCTTTACCATTGTCTTTGTGCATCTTTCAAAGATTAATTTATTTACTAGATTTTTCAATATAAGTATTTTGCATTATCTCTCTCTGAAAGATGTTCAAATCACTCAGGGTTAAAAAATGTAATTGAAAACAGGGCTGATTACCAAAGCATGGTCCCACAGACACAGAATTAGACAAGACAATCAGGAGTTTCCTGCCATTGACATTTGCATGAACTTTGGTAAGGTCACTGATCTCCTCCTGGACTTCCCTACCTGTAAATAAGTATAACAGTGTCTATTTCAGTACAGAAGTGTCTATTCCAGCTCACAAAACACTTTGGGGTATGAAGTCAGGCTGGTTAAATGGGGGATTATTTATGTGCTTGCAGCCTTTCTTATTGATTGCATACCAACACATCAATTAGTCAACATTAGACTTTTTTTTTTTATTCAGGGTACTGGATTTAGCTTAAATGCTGAAATTTGAATAAATCAGGGACTTTCAGCAAAGAACAATGAAGAGTAAGTTACGTCCCATTCCTTCCTGAAGATCTAAATTTGCCCAGATTAAAAATATGTTTTGTGAACCCAAGGTGATTCTTGCATAAGGAACAAAAACTGACATCAGTAGCTTTGTTGTGTTTCAGGTCTTGATCCTCAGAATGTGCACAACTCCAACCCTTCGGGCTCGCACATTTAGTGTTCTGAGTGATGTGACACTAAAATTGTCAGAACTGGAACATTTGCAGCCTTTCCCTTCAGCCAGCAGCCTTTCTGTGACAGGCAGCTTTGGGAATAAGGACTGGTCCTGTATAGAATTAGAGAAACCATTCATATCCACAGGGCAAATAGTGCCAATGAGAAGCATCAGACAATGTGGACACTTAAGGACAGCTTGTAAAATCACATAAACAAACATTTTCGGAATCAGTAAACAGAGATAGGAAAGTAACCTAGGGGGCTGAAAGATACAAACTCTGGGCAGGAGCCATGAAGTGTTTCAAGTGAGATGAAGGGAAAGGTACAGCTGGCTGGTCCTCACAGACCATAACATTGTTCACAGAACACAACATAGCTGTATTGTATTCCAAATCTCAACATACAGCTTTTTTCCAGTGTAACTTATTCTAGGCTGCTCTAATTACTAACAGGACTCTAATCAGTCAAGTAATTTCTTGGCAGTTTTTGTGTTTTTGTTTTAAAGAAGTGTAATAGAAATCATGTGAAGAGCTGAGAATGGGTTTGTACATACCCAAGTGGAGGTAAGTAAAAACAAGACTGGAGCTTTTTTTAGAGACTTCTTTACATCTGTGCTGAGGAAGGGAAAAGCAGTTGAGGACTTTCCCTTGTGCTGGGTGAATAATGTTTGAGCCTAGTGTGAGCCTTACCTCATATAGGCTGGAGCATCACCTGGCAAAATAAACAGGATTTAAGGCTTTTTTCTGTATCCCCAGACAAATAAATATACAATGAAGGGTTCAGTCTAAAGGGTATTCCCATCAATCCAGATCTGTGCGCAGACTTTCTGAAACAAAGCCTTAGTTTTTTAAGGAATGTCACTCCTGAGAGCCCATCTGCCTGCACAGACTCCTTTCTGAATCAGAGTTCTAAGCTTTAGCCTTTACCCAGGGCAAAACCTCACCCTCTTGCAGGGAAACCATCTATTTTGTATTTCCATAAAGTTAGCACTGATGATAAATGGAAGAACCAAATACTGATCCTAACCTAAATCAGCCAGTCTGCAAATAAATAAAGGTTCAGAGGGAGGCAGTGGGAATGCATGCCCTTTTGGAGTCAAATCCTTTTTTTTTTTTTTTTATTTCAAGACATAAGAAACAGCCTTTTCTGATTACAATGAATTTCTTAAGAGGGGCATCAGGTACTTTACTAAAAGATAATGTCAATAATATGTGACACATATTATTAAATGCTAACAATTAAGTGTAGTTTTGTTAAAATATGCAGTGTGTCATTTCCCTCTTGCAGGGAAACCTGCAAGACCTGGCCCGACTATGTTGCCAAAATAGTTTGAAGTAGCCCTGGGGGCTGTGTCCCAAACAGGGCAGGGGAGCTCTTTGAGTCTTCACTGGCACATCCCCCAGCTCAGGCGATCTAAGGAGCTGAGCTCCCCCAAAATTGTCCTCATCTGAAGGCAGAGAAGAACCCAGAGGAAGGAGGCTGACTGTAAATGAAATCTGCTTGGTGGTGCAGATCACTTCTTCCATGGATCTCTCCTGCTGTGCAAACATCGTGCCCGTGCTGGGGGAGCTTTGTGGTCGTTTTAGAGCGAGATCAAAATTCATCTGCCTTGCTTCTCCCCCTGGACAGTGTTAATGCACTCGGAGCAGCCATGCAGGGCCAGAGGTGGCCTGTTTTAAAGGACCTGGCCTCTGATGTCACCCATGGGCTCTGCAGAGGTCTCATCCAGCAAAGGCTTATCTCATCCAGCTAAGTACCCTGCTTGCTTTCCCCTCAGCAAGAGCAAATAAAAGCCTTTTCTGTGGGGTTTCAGTCAGGCACTGGAGAAACAGAACAGGTCAGAGGCCAGTTTTTACACAAAAGAAACTCAGTAAGAGGCTGGTATAATTGTTGGAGAAATCTTCTGTTAGAGAGTTTAGAATTTTCCTTGGGAAAACAGCTGAGTAGATAAAAATCACAGGTGGCTGATAGACTTGGACTCAGGCAATTTTAGAAACTAAAACCAGAAAATAATCCTTCATTCTCCTGCCATTTAGTGGCAGAAAAATATTAAGTTTTTGAAAATTATGTTTCAGTCATTTCACACTTCAATTTTTCCATCAGTAAAAGAAAATAAATATTTTTTGATCTACCAGTTTACTGGTGTTTGACCACCACCATCTGTATTAGCCATTGGTATTTGGAAAACAAGCTCACTGAACTCTGATTTAGAAATTGACTGACATAATACTTGTTTTTTCTGCTATCACAACTACTTTTCCTTTCTTCTAGAAGACATAGCAAGATCAAAAAGTATTTAATATTTTCTTTTTGCCAGAGTCTTAACTACATATTGCCACATCATCTAGCATCTCACTGCTTTTTACTAAACCACTGAGGTAGGAAAAGGAAAAAAAATCAGAAAATACCATGATAAAAATGCTGACATAGCTAATTGTTTGATTTTCGCTTGCTGGTTTTTATTTGCCAGTGTTTAGCAATGAGAACTTGACTATGGGTTTAGATGTCATTACATTTAATTACAAAGAAATATCCTGGTAAGCCCTCCTGGAGTGAGTATATGTTTCTGAAACTATTCCCACTGCAGAGCAGCTCATTAGATCCCGGGAGCAGCTGCTGTGGCAGGCGGAGCTGGGAGCTCTGCTCCCCTCTCGCTCAAGTGCTGACAGGAGAGAGCCTGTGCTGCGCTGCTGCTGCTGCATCCCACTCACTAATCAGCATCTAAATTACTGCCTGGCCCTTGAGGGAGCACTAATAACAAGATTTGTATAGCAAGCATTAATGAAAACGTAGGGCAGAGAGGAATTTGCTGTACACAGAGGCATTTGCATGCCTATCTACCCTGTCAGGCCTTGCAGCTCAGGTGTGTAGTTTGGGGAAGATCCCACACTGTGCTGACTATGCTGTCACCAAGGGACCTCTTGTGCCTCTGTCTCAGAGATCATAGCACAGCTTTTCCCAGCTAGCTCCTGTCTGTAACCAGCCCTTCGTGCTTCATTAAAATACTGCAGGCCAAATGAATCTGCTCTTTGGACATTTCATTTTTTTTTTCCCAGGTAAATCGGTTTTCTAAACAACCCTGTGTTTTCCACCTTCAATATTTAAGTAGCCATTGCTAGTACTGAGACTAGGGGCTGCAGTCTCCTTTGTTAGACCAAGTCCTTCCTCATGGTGCTCA